ATAGTTTACTTGATAACACTTTTCCAATTCCTTTTTATGGAGTTCAACTTGGGCCTCCAAACTTTGCGATAGTTCTTGAGTGGCTTCCCACAGCTCAGTTTCAGAAGGCTATACAAGAAAAAGAGTGGAGTTACATTCAAACTACAGGTAACTAAAATTTTTAACAACATAAAAGAACAAACATAAATATTGTATAACTATAACTACTTACATCAAGTTTAGTGAAGCCATCATCTGAGAGAGCTGGACTTATACCAGTACCATCAGGACCTGCTAGGACACTACCATCATCTGAAATAAGAAAGAAAATTGATAAACTTTTGTGCTTTTAGTACTATATTTTTCTTCTTTGAGGTTCACTCTTAATTTCACGCCAAGATACAATAATTATATACTGAAACGTGCACTAAAGTCGTTCAGTAAACAATTCCATAGAAAGGTACACAAATAAAAAGCTGGTTTCCTACAATATAAGAGCATGCTTCAGCATCATACAGACATGAAAGCAAAATAAAACAAGCATAATGGGGGAAAATAAAAACAACTTCACCATATGACCACATACAATACATGGTACACAATGCCTATAGTTAAACTGCACAAAATGACAACATTGCTTTATATAGTAATGATTCCGTTACCACTCACCCCAATGAAAGAAATCCCGTTTGGTAAATGAAAAAGCTATGAAAAGATACAAGTACCAATACTTTTTAGATCATAAAAGTAGAGAAATAAATCCAGAATATATCAGTTTGGGTTTGGACAGAGTCGTTGCGACAAAAAACAAAAACGGGTAAGTTTATTGGTCTACTAAAGTCCAACAAATCCTCCCCGCCCCTTTTCCCAATACTAGAGTTAGTTCATCAGTTTTTTTTTCTTTTTCTTTTTTCTTTTGTATACAGTGAGTGGCTTTTGTTTTCGTGTTTCTCACCTGGAAGTTGAGGGGAGTCACCGTGACGTGAGCCGGATCCGGAGCCCGGGCCAGAGTCTCCCTGGCCGCGCAGCCGCAGCTCGCGCCGCAGCGTGGCCAGCTCCAGGGACTCCTTGTCGCGTGCCTCGGCGACCTCCTCCAGCTGCTGCAGCAGCCGCTGCACCGTGGACTCGAGCTGGACGCAGTGCTGCCGCAGCCGGTCCTGGCCCTGCTCCTGCCCGGGCGGCAGGGTCGGCGAGCTGCGGCCGAACAGCGGCAGGCCCGGCAGCACGCTGAGCGCGGCGCTCGCTGTGGGGGGCACAGAGAGAGGAGCGTGAGCACCGAGCAGGGCTGAGCGGGGGACACTTCACTTCACTGGTGAAAAATGAAAAGGGCGTAAGTCCACGGACTTCCCATGGTACTGACGCCCTTTTCATTTTTTACCAGGGAGTTGGCTAAAGCGCATCCGTGTTAGGTGCCGGCCAAGAAACTTCAGTTAGTACCGCGCAAATGAAAAGATTAAAAAAACAACAAAACAAACACAAACTGGTGCCTGCGGCCTACGAGGAGTACCCCCTCCCCCCACTCACACACACATGCCCTGCAGCAGAAGTTATTGCAGAAGCATGAGTATGCCATGGCAATGCTCCGATGTGAGTCATTCTCCGACGATAAGCGAACCTCTCGGGGGGTTGGCATAGGAAGCCGAAGCCTTTCGCGTCCCTCTCGCACTCGCCCACCATGAGGTACCATGAGGTACCACGAGATACCATGAGGTACCACGAGGCACTACGAGGCACCACGAGGCACCACGAGGTACCATGAGCTACCATGAAGAACCATGGGGTGCTACGAGGTGCCACGAGACACCACGAGGCACCACGAGGTACCATGAGGCCCACCAGTGATAGGCCACTGCCTCCCCCAAATCACCGGTGGAAAGTGAAAAGGGCGTAAGCCAGTGTAAAGTCCGTGGACTTACGCCCTTTTCACTTTTCACCAGTGAAATGTCAGCATGCAAAAGCTACGCCCGACGGCGAGACGACGAGGAAAACGGCCAACCCAAAACGCGGCGAGCGGCGCGGTGGTCTGGCAAAACGGCAAGCCACACGGACTCACGCGTCGCAACCACCACCTCACGACGCCCCCTGGGGGGCACCCTGGGGGGCACCCTGAGGGGCACCCTCGACGGTACCCTGACCCCCTCGGGGGCCAAGGCGCCGGCGGCGCCCACCCCGGCCAGCGCGAGCAGCGCCCGCAGCGACAGCAGCTGCAGCGAGAACTCGACCCCCCGGCCTGTCACCATACACAGCAGCAGCACGTTGTTGAACCCTCCGAGTCACCACCCCGCCCGCTCCACCCCCACCCCACATCCTCGCGTCATAAAAAAATCGCGGAAAATAATAATAAAACGAGGCTTTGACGACGAGAACACCGCAAACTGGTAGAGTTAATAACAGTGGCCTTGAAAAAGAATCTCACCCTGGCCGAAGAAACCCTCGGACTGCTGCTGTTGTTGCTGCTCATGTTGAAGAGGGGTGGGCTGGTCCTGAAACAGACGAAGGAAAAGGCACAAGTTAGTTTCGATTTGGCCGTCGTTAGTCATCTGCTGATAATGAATAAAATTAAAATAAAGTGCTGCGTTGTGTAGCCGTGCTGCTCTCGGGGCTCGGCAGCGAGCCGCCTGCGGGGTAGGCCACCGAAGCGCGGCGGCGCGGGCGGGCTGCCTACCGCGCCGGGCGCTCCCCGGGAAGTATACTCTACGTCGGCCGCGTCCCCCAACAACCCCACCCCCTTTTCTCTTCTCCCCTCTCCCTTCTCCCCTCCTCCTCCTCTAACCTAGCCACCTCCTCCCATTTCGTCATCGAGGTGACGATGAGGACGCATGCGGGCGGGCGCGCGCGACAGAGGCAAAAGTACTACTAGTACCACACGGGAGACGAGGGGGAGGGGGCTAGGCGGGAAAAGTCGGGCTGTGGCAACGGTGCGGTGCTGGGGGGAGAGGAGGAGGGGGGGGGGGTCTACTAGGTGTACGCATGCGGGTGTGTGACTCCACGAGAGACAGACAGGCGGGAAAGAGACGACGAAACGGTGTGAGAGGGTGAACGGCGGCCAGTGGAGACGTCTCCGAGATCACTGGTGAAAATTGAAGGGGGCGTAAGTCTCTGCATTGGACTTATGCCCTTTTCACTTTTCACAAGTGAGATAGCCTACGCCGTTACCGCTGTCCCGTCCGTTCAAACTCCGTGTGTGTGTGTGTGTGTGTGTGTGTGTGTGTGTGTGTGTGTGTGTGTGTGTGTGTGTGTGTGTGTGTGTGTGTGTGCGCGCGCGCGTGCGCAAGGTGTGTGCTCAGGAGGAGCTCAAAGGATATCCTCCTCGTCCTCGCCGCGCCGGCCACTCTCCAGCTCGCGAGGTCGCGTCACGCCTCTTCGTATCCCCAGGAGGGGCGCCGCCGCCGCCGCGGTGCGGTGCGGTGCGGTTCCCCGTGGCTGCGTGGCCTTTCCTTAGGCGTCACATCGCCGATAAACCTTTTTTCCCCTTCTTTTCCTCCTCAGCCCGACAATTTTTCGAATGATAAGCCCCACCATGCTCGGGGGACGACGGGGGACCTTGCGGCTGGCGCGGCGGAGCCAACCAGGCCAGCCGGCGTCGGGGCAGAGCCAGGCAGAGCAAACAGGTAAACACTGGAGGACAAACATCCCACTCCGGAGCCTCGTTCCTCGAAACTCCATCATGACAGCTCGTAGTGGGGGAAGGAGGGGGGGGGGGCAGGTGTGAATATCCGATGGAGTGCCTTCCCCTGATGGTAGTGCGGTCAAATAAGGGATGGTGGCGACCGGCAACTGCGGGAGGTCACGATGGTGATTCAGACGGAGAGGGAGAGGGAGGGGGGGGGGGTTCACAGGAGTGCTCATCCTCTGAGTATGGGAAACGTCGGCGTGGTCGGCGTGGAGGAAAAAGTCTTTAGGCGCAGTGGGTGAGTCAGTTTGGCGTGGGCGTGCTGTACGTGTACGCGTCCTGAGCGCCTGCCGACAGATTCCGAAGAACCCTCTCCCATACCTTGCGTATAGCTCCGTCCTTGTCGCACTCATAGAGAGTACCGCCTCTTGAGGTCTCTTCGGAATCAGCCTGCTGGCCGGCACCGCCGCCCGGCCCGGAACCAACCGCGGGACGCGGGACCCGCGACCCCACGAGCAGCGCTCAACTCGCCCGTATCGCACTCTGTACTCGGTCCGAGTGTCACTCGCGCGCGCCTTTTTATCGAAAGCGGCAAACGAGACGTCACGACAACACTCGTCCGCGAGTGTGTGTGTGTGTGTGTGTGTGTGTGTGTGAGTGTAAATGTGTGTCTGTCTGTGAGTGTGTGTGTGTCGTCGCGACGCATTTTGCAAGTAAACAGGCCCGGGCCGGACGGAGCGCGGGACGGACGGAGCGCGGGACGGACGGACCGTCACGACGCCATGCTTGGGGGGCTTGGAGGCCGCACCGCGCCGCCGACGCTAGCAGTCACATCTTAAATAATGCTTACAATCATTTCGAGCGGCCGCGTCCTTCTCCTTATTGGGAGCGATGTGTGAGCGCGCGTCTGTATAGCCTCTCTCACTCTCGCACTTTTTTTTCTGTCGCTTCCTTCGATCACTTCGTTCGCTCGCCCCATACGTCCTCGCGAAGCGCGCTTCCTGCCCGTGCCGCGACCAAAGGAGGCCTTTGTGGTGCCTTATCGCTGGACCCCGCCAGGCAGGCAGGCCCCCGCCAGGCAAGCCCCCGCCCGCCAGGGCCCCGCCGAGGGGCTCGGCACCGCGCTCCATAAAGAACCATACGCACGGGGATAAGCCCCCCACTCCTGATGTGGGGCAGATACAAGTGTGTGTGGTTATTGTCGACCGGAGAAAAAAAAAAACGGCGTGTGCGGGAAACGTCGGCCCATATCTACAAATAAATATCCGAGAGACTCGGGAGAGTCAGTAAAGTCAGCAAACCCGTGTAACAGATTCAATGGCACGAACTGGAAAAGTGGCTCACAGGGCGCTGCCATAACCCCCAGCCGCCGTGGAGGTGCTACCCCAGCCCTCGGTGAGGTGCTACCCTCTCTAGCGTGGCTCCCAGAGCCCTCCCCCCACCCCGCCTACACTGTAAATCAGGGGTGTCCAGCAACTGTGCGACTTAAGGTGCCCGACCCTAAAACCTGTGCGACTTAAGTCGCACAGCTGCTAGACACCTTTTGGTTTGGCACCCTTTTCCCTGCACAGGGGTCCAGGCCAAGCCTAGGTAGGGTGTCCTGTTGTTGGACACCCCCTGCTTGCTTGGGACCCTCTGCAGGGAAAGGGCGCCAAACTACAAGGTGTCCAGCAGCTGTGCGATCTAAAGTCGCCACAGGTTTAAGGGTCGGGCACCTTAAGTCGCACAGTTGCTGGACACCCCGGATTTACAGTGTAGCGGTAGCGGTGGCTCCCACGTTTAGGTCCCACGTGTCGCGTCATAGCGTCGGCTCGCTCTGACCCAACCGCTCGTGACCCGCGCCCCTCGGCTGCTCCCGCTCCCGCCCGATTGCATGTCTAATGGGCGCGCCTCATCAGTAATACACCAGCGGGGCCACCTTAAGCCCGGCCCGGCCCGGCCGAGGAGGGGACAAGAGGACGGACGAACGGACGGACAGTCACGTCGGGTGACTGAAATTTTCGCTGCCGCGGTAATGTTCGGCCCGAATTGCTTCCCATTTGAATCTTTTTACCTTCGGGGGGGCTTTGACTCGCGTGTAAAGGCGCGGCCCAACCCGCGCCAGGTCGCTTGGGCCGGGCTGGCGGCGCGGTGGCGGCGTCGGGTGATCCTTGCTCTACCCTCCGCCCGCGCCGCCCCCTAGCGCGACTCGCACCTGACCAGGCGCGCAGTGGAAGCCCGGCGGTGTTCATCCAGCCTACAACTCACAAACTCACAAATCTGGCCGAACAGACATATAGAGGGCGCTGTGTTGCAGCACGCTCCCGCTATCACCGTCCCGTGCGGTGGTGGGAGCGGCAGCAGTAGCGGCTGACTCACGAAAATGACCCGCGGTGGCGCGGTACTTCCCTCGAGGCAGGGAGGGTGACTCAAAGAGGGCCCCAGACACACCGGAAGCGGTTGAGGAAGAGCGTTCACCTCGGCGGCGTTCACACTTCACACAAAACCAACCTGAGAATGGCGCGGGCGTCAGGCCCTGCTTTCCTCCGCGGTGTCTTGTTGTCCTGATCGGCGACACTGCGATGGAGGAGCACTGGGATAGGAAGCGTTAGCTCGCGGGCAGTGAGAGGCACTAAGAGGGCCTCGGTGAGGGTGCGGGCCGCGCAGGCGGGGCAGGGGCGCGGGGTCGACGACTGGAGCAGCACACCGTATCAGTGGGGGAGGTGGGGAGGGGCCGGCGCACGGCTTCAGTAGGGCGTAAAGGCCGGGGAGGGGAGGCGGCACACACACACATACACACTGGGGGGCCGACCGTGCCGTCCCGTCCGCCACCGGCGACGTCGCGACACTGACTGAGGCCCGGGGGCCCGGCTAGACCGCGACGACGCGGACCTACCCGCCCCGCCCCGCCAGGTGGGACCACCACCTCCCC